AATACAATATCGAAGACGGTAATATGTAACATACATTTCTAGATCTGGAATACATTATACAACTACGAGGGGTGTTCGGGAAGTTTAAGGACTTTTGCTGTAGTTTGATAAATAATAGGAATTGAAAAACAAGAAAAACACCATAAAAATATAATTCTTTTACAGCCAGCTGTAAAAATTACAATGAAATACATTAAACAATGAGTAAATTACAAATAAAACAAAACATACATCGAAGCATACCCGAAGCAAGCTAACGTCACGTCAATCATAAATATGTTAACGTCAAATTTCCCCGATCGTCATATCGACTCACTTCTCGACGTAATCTCCATTCACAGCTATACATTTTCTATGCATCTTGACCCATTTGTCGAACGTGTCCTCGTACCAGATGGTGTCGAATGACGAAACTATTCTCTGGGTTTCAATTTGTAATTCAAACCCGGAATCAAAGCGTCGACCGCGCAGCTGTGCGTTGATTTCCGGAAAAAAAAACTCGGAAATCCATTGGCTTGAGGTCCGGGCTATAGGGTGGATGCTCGAGCGTCTCGAATCCCAGGAGGCTGTTTTCCAACTGCGTTGACTGTGCACGGTGGCCGGGGGCGTTGTCCTTGTGAAGAATAATCTGGTCGAGGTCGATCCCGGGCACTTCTTCTTAGTAGCCTGGACTAGATCCAGCCTTAGAACCTGAAATCATCAAATGATTAAGTTTTCTATGAATAGCGTATTAAAAAATAATTCAATTTTTTTTTCATTCATTTGATTAGTTTTATCTTATATTTAAAATAAAATAAATTATCATTGGTGAGTGTCTATAATTACCTTTGAGAAATAATTGGCGGTCAGTCTGTCCTTCCGGGATACGGTGCTGTAATAGCATTCCCCGCCTGTCCATGAAGAACACGAACATGTGTTTTAAGCCGCTTTTCAGAACCCGCGCTTTTTTAAGAGGAGGACTTCCGGGAGTTTTCCAGACAGATGATTCCTGTTTCGACTCGGGATCATAGTGGATCAACCAAGTTTCGTCCGTAGTGATGATGCGATCTAAGAATGACAACCCCTCTCCTTCGACGCGTCGCACGAATTCTCGGGAACAGTGTTATCTGCTTTCCCGCTCGTCGTTCTTCAGAAGTCTTGGGACCAACATGGTGCTTACTTTCGACATAATTATTGTCTTCTTTTAGGCAATCGTGGACGGTGGACACAGATACAGCAAGTTCACTTGACATTTCTCGCACAGTGCGTCGTCGATCTTCCTTTATCAGTTGCCGAACCTTGTCGTTTACTCCAGTTTTCACCACCGATGGTGGTCATCCTCTATAATTGACTCTCTTCCGTTTCGGAACATGTCGTGTCATCTAAATACTAGCGATCTACAGCATTTCTTTGTTGTACTAGATGCTTGAATCATTTTATAAGTCTCCGTTGGTGTCTTTTCTATTCCTTCACAAAACTTGATGATTGCCCTGACTTCAACGTCGCCTATTGACGTCATTTTTCTCTTGATTTGTGTAAGCACCAGTGATGTTTAAACTGTTGTTATTCAAACAATTGTAATGATTTACGAGTAGACTTTTCAGGAAATGACGTTGTCGTTGTATTTAACGCTCGTGCGTTTTCGTGACGTTATCCATTGTAATTTAAGAAAATGATTATCAATTAAACATATCGGTACCATTAACTTAAATACGATAAAATTGGAGTGCTCCGGGTATGCGTTATGCGGTTCCTAAAGAAACAATTTTCGAGCGGTATTTGTCTACTGGATAGGAACCAGTCTCCGGACAATACCAGTTTCCGGACAAGTATTATAACGGCTTAATTTTGGCTTTATTGATGACGATCGGCATTATATGTCATGAAGATGCTTGGTTTGATTGTTTGTGAAAATAAACTTCCTTCCGAGTTGATACATCATTAAAATTTCGTGAGGATATCTTACCTGTGTTTTAAAAACAGCCTTATATCCCTTTGGGGCATGTAATTTTTTCTGCGCATGCGCAATATTTTGTTTATTTTGGGATATAATTTGGGGTAGCAATTAATGCACAATGTACTTCATTCGAAGTTCATTGGGTGTAATTCCCCAGAGCTTAATCTGGTACGTATCGGAAAACAGTGTTTAGCTAGGTTTACTCCACTTTTACACTTCGTTGCTGCCGTACACACAAAAATATCCGTTTCACTTTTCAGTCATTCCGAGACCCATCACGTGATCGATATTTTTCTATCATAAACATTTTTCAGTAAATCAGCTTAATTATATAAGAAAGCTAATATGTGAGAAGAAATTTTTTGTTATATTAGAATAATTATCAGTTAAAAACAGATATGAATAGCAGCTTAATATATGTCCGGAAACTGGTTCTGCAAGAGTGAACAATTTACACTTTTGATGACCTAATTTAACCCTTCAGTTTGTACATTGCTTACGTCACCAGGCAGTATTAATTGTGTTATCGGACATAGTTAGAGCTCAGGTTTTTGGTATGTTAGTTTTATTTATGCATGTTTATTATTAAAAAATAGACAATTAAAAAAACTCGAATTCTGTCCGGAAACTGGTTCCTGCCCAGTATTCTTGTTAGTGAGCGTTTTACTACATATTAAGCACATATTTAAATTACATTTTGTGAACTATGGATAAAAATGCACTATTAATGAAAATAAATACAGCAAAAAGTTCTTAAACTTCCCGAACACCCCTCGTAAAAGATAGAATTTTATTTATTTCATTTCCAATAGGCTAATAAGCCCATGGGGATAATATATTACAAACATACTATACATGTAAATGACATGACATAGTAATGCATGATATTGATAATAATACATCCCTTTTTCAATTATCAAAATATAGGAGGTTGGAACTCAAGTAGAGGAGAGACATTTCTTAATTACAATATACTTTATATATGTAACCATGGGAATAGTACTCCAATTTACAGTCAACCTTTAACGAAATCGAAAACAAAAGAGTAAAAGGTTAACTCATTGGCTATTCGTGAAACATCATCATCAAAAACAGTAAATGGATTCAAATATCATATCAATTGTTAAACATATGTTTATAGTTGTAACATTGTACACTCCTGTGCATTTGTTATGCAATAATATTGTATCAAATTAATCTCTAACAGCTAGACGAAATCAATACATCTGTCGAATAATAAGCATGGTTCTAAAGGTCTTAACACAATAACTGAATCCAAATAATTACAGTTTTGTTTGCTTAGCTAACGAACTCTTAAGACTTCAGCTATAATAAGAACTCTTAAGATTTCAGCTATTATAAATAAGTAATTTAAAACAAACGAAACTAATATTTTTTTCGGTTTTGATTAGATTCTGTTTTTATTTAATATATTTATTTATTTATATATTTATTTATTACATGTGCGTGAACATGTTTTACAACTTTGTTTAGTCTCGTTCTAAAAAGTAATATTTCATGACATAAACGCTTCATTTGCCTATAAAATGATCTTCATTTATTGTATTTGAGTTGACCAAAGATCATATTTTTATGATGAGCTCATAACCTTTGTTTTTTTCTTTTGTTCAGAACTAATTTTTTTATTTTAGTTTGAAAATAGTTCATTGCAATAATTTTATATGGACATATGTATATTTGCGTGAATACAAAATAAAATAATTATTGTTTGATAACAGTTTTTATAAAAAAGGGTTTATTGCGAATGCTATATCTTGTCTACTATATATATATAATATATTCATATCGCCAGGTATCAGAGTTTGCCCTCTTAAAAAAGTTTATATTGACTGCATAAAACAATATCGAAAATAACAGTGGAATATTTTTGAACCTATAATTATACCAGGCAATTGTTGATGTTGCTGATGGTGCCATGATATTAAATTTCATCGTGATCAATTTAAAGAAAATATCTCATCAGGCAAACTCTAGTTAACTGTTTATCTAAACTGTTTACCTACATAAATATTCAATATATTCTTGCAATGTGATCGAATTAACACGTGTCCGTTCAGGGAAGATAGCAATACGATTACTTGACTAATGAATCTACAGATCAGACTATTGCTGTCTTTAACGTTGTAAATCGTTTACTGGTTCCTTTCAAGCAAGTTAATGTGAACATACAGAACACAGAAGCAATAAGCATGGATCAGCATTATCTTATTTCTACTTTCTTGTTTAATGTTTAAAAGTCTATGATTTTGCTAAAAAAACAATTACTTATGACTAAAAGTTTGTTCGCCCCTACTTGCACCGCCCCTGTGCTAACTTCTGTATTAATTTAATTCGATACCTTGTTTATGTCTTGCCGGTTGTCCTGTATAGTCGGGTTTCGGTAGTGTCTGTCTGCGTTCAGTGGAATTTCTTATTGGTTGCTTTTCCCATATGCAATAACAAAAAACATGCCCTAATAAGAATAGATTAGTGTAGTTTCCAAGATGTCTCAGATTTGTTCTACAGTTTTATACTTAACAACAACAGGTGCCAAGTGCTGTGTGGTAGCTGTTAACAGTTGTACTTCATGTCAGTGTTGTTATATTTTTTTTCTGGTCTTTCGGGATCATTGATTAACACTTTTAAGTTTGAAAATAAAGTACCGCTCAAGCCGGTGCTAATGGACGTGAGAAGTTTTTACTTTCTTTTTCAATATTTTTAATGTACAGACACAATCAAACCGAGTCTGCAGGTTTTATCTAATTTTGTTGTGATTAATGCTTCCGAGGGATCATACTTTTCCAGATTCTTTAAGCTGCATGCCTTCAGATAAACCAAAATATTTCAAGAAAGTCATTTTTTTTTCAGAAAAAATAGGTACTGATATTTTAATGAAAGTAAAGAGATTCAAGATAAAATAGCAATTATTATTTCAATCAATCAATCATAGGTATTTTTATAGCGCGACACTTTATACAGTTATATTCTGTTGCGCTTCACAAGATCCTATAATGTCAAAGTCATTTCCACAGTTTAAAACTATATACACATTTGACGAAACTTTTTATCCATAAAATTGTTCAAAGAGGTGTGCTTTCAGTCTTTTTCTGAATGCAATTTCCGATGCAATGCACTTTAATTCTTTTGGTAGGGCGTTCCACCATTTAGGTCCCATAACAGAAATAGATCTGTCAGCAAGTCTGGTCCTGCGTCTTGGCACAACAAACTGTGTACAAGTGTCATCAGCAGCTGATCTTAGACTGTATTTTCTTCTCACACAATTAAACAAAGTTATGAGATACGTTGGAGCTGTTCCATGTATTACTCGGAAAACAATAAGAATTACTTTAAACATAATCCGTGCCTTGACTGGTAACCAATGTAGAGATTTTCTGAGATCAGCACTAGGTTGGTCATACACATTCATTACTACCCGAGCAGCCTGGTTTTGGAGTCTCTGAAGTCGATCTATTTGATAAACTGGTATTTCTGCAAAAAGTCCATTACAAAAATCGATGTGGGAATTCACTAAACCATGAACTAGTATTTCCGTTGATTTCTGAGACAGATGCTTACGAATGGATTTCAGGTTCTTAAGTTGAGAGTAGGCTATTTGACACTTTTTTCGTATATGCCTGTCAAAACTAAGGTTGGCATCAAAGCAAACACCCAAGTCCCTTACATGGTCAACACATTTGACAAAACAACCACCTACATTAACACCGGGTATATCAACCTTTGCTAACTGTTGTGTAGTACCATATAAAATGATCTCTGTTTTTGCATTGTTCATTTTCAATTTATACTTTGCCATCCAAGAAGAAATATCATCCAAACAAGCAGATAATTGTTCAAGAACATAAGTTTCATTTTCTATGTTTCCAGCTTGAATTTGTAGAGCGACTTTATGATCATCAGCATAACCATGTAACTGAGCCGGGTATTTCTTGACAACTCTATTTTAATGCTGCGATATACAAGGTAAAGATTACTGGGCCAGCACAGGAGCCTTGAGGCACACCAAACATCAGATTTTCTTGTCTTGATGATTCATTGTTTATGATAACTTTCATGGTTCTATCAGTCAAGTATGATTTGATCCACTGTAAAGGAACGTCATCTATGCCAAAAGTCATCATGAAGTATATGAAGCGCAATGGGATGTCAATGGTGTCGAACGCAGCACTGAGGTCAATCATAACGACTATTGTAATTTGTCCATCATCAACAGCTTTCAGCAAAATCATCATACATTTTTATCAAAGCAGTTTCTACTCCAGGGTTTTTACGATATGCACTTTGATACGATGGCAAAAGTGTATTTGTCTCAATATGTTTAGTGATTTGATTCAGGGCAGCTTTTTCCAGTATTTTGGACAAAAATGATAAATTTGACACTGGTCTATAGTTTTTCAGCTCCAGAGCGAGACCTTTTTTCTTCAACAGGGGTCTTATCACTGCACTTTTCCAAGTCTGAGGAAAGATGCCAGAAGTAAGTGATCTATTCAGTATTTCTGTGACTACAGGCAGAAAGTACTCAATGTTCTCTCTTAACTTGGTAGTTGGCATGAAATCAAGTTCACAAGTTGTAGACTTTGATTCTAAAATCAACTTCTTCACATCTGTACAAGAAAGCATCTCAAACTGATCCAAGCGACTGACACAAGACTGTCTTCCAACACTATTATTTTGATGTCCAGTATCAACATGTAAATTGTCAAGCTGATCTCTTAGATTTTTAATTTTGTCTGTGAAATATTGCAGAAAGTCATTAGCAAGATCTTGATCATTGGAATATGAAGGAAGAGGATTTTCTTTTTCTCTGCCAAGGAGTTTAGAGGTGACGTTATACAGTTTTTTCACATTTCCTTCTGCATCATTTATCTTTGACTGATAAAAGCCTGATTTTGCAGCTGAAACTTCTCTAGTATAATGATTCTTCACTTTCTTGTACACATTTTCAGTCAAGGTGGATTTGTGTTTCAAATGTATCTTTTGAAGTGTTTTAATTTCTTCAAGTAACTTGAATACCAGGGGATATCTGGTCTACAAACAATTTGCCTTTCCTTCATGGGAGCCTGCTTGTCAACAATGCTAGTGGTTTTCTCAGTCAAATCTTTCACTAACGTATTTGTGTCATCAGACTGATCAATGACAGACTTAAGTTCTGAGAGGTCTTTTCTCATATCACTAGTGCATACATGTTTCCAGTTTCTTGAAATCACTTTTTTTCTGATCAGAGGTGGACGGCTTTGTTCTATATGACATGTTGTAAAAGAGTGATCAGAGATAAAATAGTCTGTAACTGGCTTTGAAACATTCAGCCTATCTGCTTTTCTGGTTATTATTAAGTCCAAAACATGACCACTTGTGTGTGTTTTCATAATTCCCATGTTTAGGTATCATGTTTAACAATAGGTTGAAAAAATATTATCTGTATGTCCATCCATTGTAGCAATGTTATCACAATCCCATTGAAATTCTTAAAAAATATTTCAACGAAAATACTAACCAATCATAATATTTCTGTCAAATGGCCTTTAGCAGATCTTTTAGATAAAGTTATTGCTGAATGATGGATTTTTGTTCATCATTTTTTTCATGTTGTTGTCAGATAACTTGAGAGATTGTCTGTCTTAAAGAAACAGTCTTTCTTAAAGCTATCAGATAAAGTTACAAAACATTCATTGAGAAATTATAGGTCTGGTTTTCAGAAGAAAAACAATAATATGCTGTTGAAATTATATTTTTGTCCCGTCTTGATCTTAACACGTTCCGTTAAGATCGCAAGAAGGGCTGTTAGCATTCAACTGAAAACGTACGATTTAACAAAGCTCTATAACTCTCTGGGCTTGGTTGATTGGATATGAAACTTTTTTTCTTAAAAGTGAATAAAATGGTCTTTTATTGCATGATATTTATGCAAATTATGAGTATCTTTTATAATGTTAATTGTTAAAGGCAATATTAATTAATATACAAAATACGGTGAAAATACATAAATAGATTTAGAAGCATACAAAACTAGTAAATAAGACTGTGAAAGGGTAAACACTTGGAAACATTTAAACAAAGAGATTCCTTAAACATTCTTAACTCAGTTTGATTGAGTCTGTTCATGAGAGATAATGGAAAAACCACGTTCCCAGCGCCCTAGCACCGATTTAAACGGTATTTAATCGTTAGAAAAATGACGTATGTTAGACACAATGTTTTTAAGTGAGGCAAGGGTAAAATATTTCTAAGGTTAGTTTGGTAAAATCTTTGCTACTACTTACAATTTGTGTGGTCATATCTCGGTAGTTACATGTACTACATGTTCGATGATCAAATCAGCGCGATCCATGGGTTATATTTCCGAGGCTGTGTTTAGAGATTATTTCCACGTCTTTTTTCTAACAGACTTTAACAAGTCGCCCGGTATACATTTAAAAATGTTATATTTTATATCATTGAAGATTGTTCAGCGTGAAATTATTGTTGTGTAAACATGTAATGTCATATACTTAGTTTCTTCTACTCGACCCTTTTTAGCTTGGTTGGTTCCGGTATCCTACTTGGATACAGTATAGTCACCCTTAGGCTATGTTACCTGCTCTTTTACTTTGTCATTTGACGTTTCGTCCATGATATGCACGCTTCATAACCTCAGATTTCCTTTTAAAATTCCATTTTGTTTTGTTCCGCTAATTTTTTTCTCGTTTTTTTCAATTAGGGACAATACACCGCTTTTCATGGAATCGCACTTAAGTGTCGCATTGAAGGTTCCATATTAACCATATGGACACATCTGCGGATATTTCTACCATATTCAAGTTTAAATATTGAATTCTGCTTAAGTCGGTGCTTGCACTTTCCAGTACCGTCCATGAACAGCCCGAATCAAACCAACATTTTCCATTTAACGTTTTTGACGTTTAAGGATTCCGTTTTTATCTATTTTGACATTATTTGACAATAATACTTTGGTATTATTTTATACTGTTCAAATCGTTTATAATATTTGATAGCTATGCAATAACTTTGTTTCCCTGAATTATTATATTTTATATACAAGTTCATAGGTTCATTTTTTCTATTTAATGTTTTAATGTTTCCTTTAATTGTCTTTCATAGTCGTCTTCAAAGAGAATTTACACCTGCATGTGAATAGAAAGATGTTTTCACACAGATGAAGATCTTCATTTAGTCTTTATATGAAACTATAAAAGGTTGAAAATGTAAAATTGTTTACGAGAAATAAATTATTTCTACTTAATAACATTTTTTGGATTTTAATTGAACTTTATATGAAGAAAATATTTCATCAGGCAATTTCTAATACATGTTATTAATTTAATGTTCATCTAAATAGACATGCAATCTTTTCTTGCAATATCTGATCAAATTAACATTTCTGTTGAGGGACGAGAGCGATCAGATACGTGATATTTTAATATGCAATTCAACAAAATATCGTTTATCTATCCTTAAAGGTTATAACTTTCTTGCCCTTTAAAATTGATACTGTTATTCAATTTCGTTCAAATACATGCTGGAACTGAAAGTGATAAGCCTTGGCCATAAGATAACATACACGTCCGTGAAGGTTGACCAGGTTCTTTTCTAATTGCAGCATCAAACCATGACCAAATTTGAAATTGACCAATGCATTTTTATGACATATCCACTTTTAATTTGAGTTTAATATGTACTGTTAGGGAGATAATGAATGGGAACTGAAAATTTCATATTATTTTCAAAGTTAAAGGGGCATAACTCCAAAAATCATCGAACCTTGACTAAATTCGAACTTAATCTGCGCATTTCTTTGACGTATCCATATGTCAAATTTTAGTTGAATGTGTAATACCGTTGGGGAGATAATGAACAGAGACTGAAAATTTTATATTATTTGCAAAGTAAAAGGGGCATAACTCTGCCAAAAATGATCGAACCATGACCAAATTCGAACTTGGCCTGTATTTCCTAATGACATATCCATATATGTTAAATTTAAGTTGAATGTGTGCAACCGTTAGTAAGATAATGAACGGAAACTGATGATGACGCAATGACAGAATGACGGAAGGACGAAATGACGGAAGGGCGGAATGACGGAACAGGGTAACACTATATGCCCGAGCCATTATATGACGGGGGCATAAAACTCGGTACTCATTCATATACATATATAAATGTCAATTGTGGTGTTCAGAATGTGTGTAAGAATAATTAGTTTGTCGTCTTTTATCTTGTATAACTTGGATACAACTTATGACTAGTTATGGAGCAAAGGGTACAATTGCATAAAAAATATAAAGTTAATGGCCAACATCTTAATAGTAGTTGTTGTCCAATTACAAATGAGCACAACTTTAATAACAAAATAACTCTTCCTCTCACATTCTTGACATTTCAACGTGTCTTTTGAATAAAAGTAGAAGTTTAATGGCAGCATTTTCCCAGGAGCTTCATTACTAAAAGCAAAGTGTAAATTAAAACAATGCACACTAATCATAAAAATAGTTGTGGCACTCGATGTGCTATTTAAACTTAATAATACGGGATTCTAAAACAGATTTTATTCCAATTAAATCGGAGTTTCTTCAAATATCTTTGCAAATGTAGCACCCGAAGCATAATATAATCAACCTTTAAATTAGTATTCTACTCATGTTCGTCAATGTTATTCTTAATCGTTAATTGTTAAGGATATTTTTGTTTTCAATTTTAAGCATTGTGCTATTATTTTTATATAATTACATTTTGAGTTAATATTTTTTGCTTTTCATATGAGTACGATTGTAAGAA